AGCTCCAAGGCTGGATGTTAGTAGCTCCAAGGCTGGATGTTAGTAGCTCCAAGGCTGGATGTTAGCAGCTCTAAGGCTGGATGTTAGCAGCTCCAGAGCTGGATGTTAGCAGCTCTAAGGCTGGATGTTAGTAGCTCCAAGGCTGGATGTTAGTAGCTCCAAGGCTGGATGTTAGTAGCTCCAAGGCTGGATGTTAGTAGCTCCAAGGCTGGATGTTAGTAGCTCCAAGGCTGGATGTTAGCAGCTCTAAGGCTGGATGTTAGTAGCTCCAAGGCTGGATGTTAGTAGCTCCAAGGCTGGATGTTAGTAGCTCCAAGGCTGGATGTTAGCAGCTCCAAGGCTGGATGTTAGCAGCTCCAAGGCTGGATGTTAGCAGCTCCAAGGCTGGATGTTAGCAGCTCCAGAGCTGGATGTTAGCAGCTCCAAGGCTGGATGTTAGCAGCTCCAAGGCTGGATGTTAGCAGCTCTAAGGCTGGATGTTAGTAGCTCCAAGGCTGGATGTTAGTAGCTCCAAGGCTGGATGTTAGCAGCTCCAGAGCTGGATGTTAGCAGCTCTAAGGCTGGATGTTAGCAGCTCCAGAGCTGGATGTTAGCAGCTCCAAGGCTGGATGTTAGCAGCTCCAAAGCCCTCTCTCGGCCGCACAGGACCCCTCAAGGGTGCAAAACCATCGCCCTGAGCCTGGGCCTGTGCCCGTGGAAACAAACCCCACCCAGCGCAGACCTGAAAGCGAAAAGCCGGCCAGGCAAGCCAGCAGCACCTGTTTATTTCTGTAAAAGGAACACACAAAGCCAGCAGGACACAACACAACACGTGTCCCTGCGGCGAGGATGCGGCCGGGCAGCGGCATGAGCGGATCCTCCCTCAGGCAGCGGCTGAGGGCTCGCCAGCCCGCCGGGACCGCCACCGCGTGCTGCCCACACGGGACGGCCGGGGCCGCCACGCGGGCACCTGCGGCTGGTACCGCGTGCCGGGACAGCGCCCGAGCCCCGCTCGTTAACCGGTCCCGCACGGAGCCCTCACAGTCCGGCCGCGGACGGAGCGGAGCGGGCATGGGCGGTCCCGGCGCGGCCACGGAGCCGGGCGGAGCGGAGCGGGGCAGGGCGGTCCAGGCGCGGGGCCAGCTGGACTGCCGCGTTTCCAGAAGGGGATGTGGAACTGGCAGGTTGAGAGAAGGTTCTTAAATTAGGCATGCTGTTATCTTAAGACACTGCTTACAGGGTGTCACAGGAAGTGCCATTTTCACGGTTCTGTTTTATGGAACCAATAAACTCTAACATAGTTGGGTTTTTTGGGTTTTTTTTTTTTTGGTTTTTTTGTTTTGTTTTGTTTTTGTTATGCTGGGGGAAATCAGCCGGTTACTAGGGTCAGAAAGAGCCCAGGACATGTACACCCTGGATCTATCCTCAGATTCTCAGTGGCACAGATTCCCTGCAACTCTTCTCACCCTCTGAGCACAGGGGTGCAAGTAAACAGTGGGGAGAAAATGTTGAAAGCATCTCGGGTTTATAGTGGATGCTTTAAACTGCGAGCGGTCCCTTCGCCAGCCCCTCCAGAAGGGGGTCCTGCAGCTATCCTTAGCCCCCGTTAGACTAAAAAGCATTTAATTCAGTCACTGCCTGCAGGAGGATGATGGAATTGTAAAGCTGAAAGCCTTTGGTCCAGCCTGAGTACTCTAACCTCTGCTCTTGGCTGGAATGCAACCATGGATCACCAGAAAATATATCCAGACCTGAAAAGGAATAATCATGGAGCCACCCAAAAACAGACTGAGTTCAGAGGCAGCCCAAGCCATACTTTTGGTGACACACAAATACAGTGATGCAGTTCAGTCTTGGCCTGTGTTTACCAAAGTAGATGTCAAAGTCCTCTGCTGGTTTTTTCTTGTAAATTAACTTTGGTGAGTATTAAGGTGAGAAAGTTGCAGAAAACAGAAATGAAGGCTGGCATTTTTTAAGAAAAGAGAGGGATTAGCAGTTTCATACCCTGCAGCAGTGTTTATTTCCTCGTTAGTGTCACACCTTTCCCTGTCAGTGTCTGGCTGAGGAGCTGCAGAGCAAACTCAGGTTTTGTGTTTGAGCTGTGGGTGCCTCTCCCACACTTTCTGGCAGTGAGGAGTGGGGCTTCTCCTTTAAGGTAGAAACCTGCCTCTGTACATAGAAAGTGACAAATGTGTCTGTTCCTGGTGCCAGGGACTTTAGGAGTGCCCCAGGAAATCAGCCAGAGTTCCCAGGTGTGCTTTTTCATATTGTCACTGCTTACACCTGGCTGTAACAAAACCTGGGTGTTATTTCTAAGTGTTTTACAAAAAACAAGGAAGAAAGAGCAAGGTCTTGAAGCTTTCTTTTTTTGGGCTGTTCTGTACTTCCACTTAGGAGAAAAATGAGGAATGCAGATCTTGAAGGAGAGTATTTTAAGTATTTAGACTACATTTCTTTTTCCAAAGAGTTTTCAATTGTTATTTTTTATTAAGAGTTACATACTTGTAAATATAGTTTAACAGAAATACTATATAAAGATTTTATTGTGCATGAGCTGTAATAGTTGTGATTGGTATTTTTTTAATAGTTGTCATTGTTCTTTTTCAGTAGAATTCTGTGAAATTTATCTCTGTAGACATGCTGGAGAAAATATTGTTTACTTAGGATCAGAAATGGTATTTTTCTAATTACTTAAATTATATTTTTAACCATGTATCAGACTGATTAGTGTTACATGGAAATATTTTTTCTTAGAATTTTCTAAAGATGCTGTCAAGCAAACTAGCTGTGTTTTTCCTTTAGAAATACAACTTGCTTTACATTAAGTGATGTGGTTCATAATACCTCCTTGCTGTGTCTATAGTGTGTGTTCTTAATGCTGGAAGACATTATTCAGATTACAGGTGATGTGACCATCCAAGGTTTTCAGGCTTCCAAACTGGAGGGGGAGTTGTTCTTAGCTCAGTCACTCTGCACTTCTGTTTACACCACATGAAAAGTGTAAGCCAAAACAATTTTATTTCTTAATTCAAATGTTTCCAATCTGTCTGTGTGCACAGAATCCCTCAGGCCCTTCCCAAGAGTTGGGTAATCATCATTAGCCTTTTCTAGCACTTGACATAATCAGGTACTGAGATTTAACAACCACAAAGGGCTGGTGGGAGGCTCGAGTGCAGAGATCACCCATAAACCTGCCCTCAGTTTCCTGGTTCTGCTAATTGCTGCTGACTGCTCTGAACCATTATCTGTTTCATTAATAATCTTTGTGGTTTTCTGAGTCCATTACAGTCCTTCCCCTGCTCTGAGAAGTCCTTTCTGCTGGGATTGATTCCCTTTCAGCTGTACATATATCAGCTGGATCTGAATGCTTGCTTAGCACAGGAAGTGAGATCTTATCAGCACAGCCTTTTCCAAAGGGAAATTTGCTGCTCAAAAATGCAGCAGAGGCAGAAGATACTAAGAAAACGCTACTGTGCAAAAGAAATAAAAATAAAAATGGTTTCATATTATTTAGTATACAGTGGCTCTGGCACATTGTGTTAAGTTGCTGACAACACTTTAGAATAAGGAGGTTCAGAGAGAGGGGAAACCATAAAAGGTCCACCCTATGGGAGGATTCAAAACCCCAGTAGTATTTGCTTAGGTCCTGTTTCAGTGGAGATGTAGAATATAAGGAATGGCACAAAAAGACAAGCAGTGGTCTTCCATTTACCAGTTGGGGATAGAAAAGTGAAAGTGCAACAGAACATAAATTTATGGGAGGAACTTCTTTCATTTTGTGTGACTATATATTGAAGCCAAGAGCTTTGGAAGATTCAGAAAGGATTAGAGATTTATACTGAGGATGAGGACATCCACAGTCACTTTAGATTAAAAGATCCTGGAATATAAGCCATCATGTTCCAGGACATTAGACAACCTATAAAACAACAGGGTTTACAAAGAAATTCCCTATGAGCAGCATACTGTGTTTGTCCACTCTGAATTATTTGGTTTCTTCCTCTGGAACATCTAGTTCTGGGAACTCAAACTTTATACCAAACTCATAATTCTTATGCTGCTGGATTTAGGCAAATTGTATAAACCAAGCATTTCTCCTCCTGCCCAATGTGTGTTTTGCCACCCAGGAAAGACAGGTGATGAGACTGACAGATCCTTCAACGACTTCACTGAGACCTAAGGTTGCTGGCATGTTGTTTGCACACTCTTTTACCTTTATTCTTTCAATTGTCTGATATTTCCTTCTAAAGCAGCCTCAGTGCTCTCAGATTATGTGACCACATCCTGCTCCCTTTGTTCCTGCCCATCACAGAGCTGGCAGAGCCACAGATGGTGTGGTGGCCAAAACCCACCTGTAGTGTCAGGGACACACCAGGTGACCTTGGCTGCAGGCTGGCACCCTGTTCTGCTGCCAAGGGTGACAAAGGGCTGGAGAGTTCCAAAACCTGCCACAGAAGGAGCTTGCTGGCAGGAAACCAGGGTCCCAACTGATGCAGGCACAACCTCTGAGCAGCCAAGTTCTCAGCATATATTACATACATATATGTGTGTGTGTATGTATATATGCATGTATATATATGTAGTTATTATGTATATGTTTATATCAAGGTTCTCAAGTATATATTCTCGTCCTTGGATCATGTGCAAAAGGCTGGATAAACACAGGGCTAGAGTGCATTTCATATACAGGAGATGTGGATCAAGGCTCTTGGATCAAGTCCTGTCCCTTGGTTGGTGCTGTGTGTCACTGCGTGTCACTGTATCTGAACAACTTGGACTGCAGTGGGCACCAGCCATCCCACCTGTAACTGTTCTTACCAGAATTTTCTCAGGGCTCTCTGGAATCCATCAATGTTACTAGGACATAAACTGTGCTGAAGTAATAAAGAAGAAGCTGAGAAACTGAATTCCAAGACCACAAGAAAGAGATAGCAGAGAGCTGTGAGCCACCTGGGCTGTAACCAGTCACACATTCTGAGAGGTGCACACAGAACTCATGGACAAGCAAGGGCACCAACAGGAGAGCTGTGATCAGTGTGTGCAGAGAGTTAGAATCTGTAAATAAATGCATCATGTAAACAATAAATGGCTTCTGCTTAATCATAGTGGTCAGTTGTCCAGGAGTCCTGAGTTCCCCACGTGTCCCTGTGTGTCCCTGGGTGCTGTGTCTGACCCCGCTGTGTCCCCTCAGCTGCAGATCTGGGACACGGCGGGCCAGGAGCTGTTCAGGGTGTCCCTGTGTGTCACTGTGTGTCCCTGTGTGTGCCTGTGTGCTGCTCTGACCCCACTGTGTCCCCTCAGCTGCAGATCTGGGACACGGCGGGCCAGGAGCGGTTCAGGACCATCACACAGTATTACTACCGCGGCGTCAACGGGGCCATCCTGGCCTACGACATCACCAAGAGGGGCTCCTTCCTGTCCATCCCTAGCTGGATCGAGGATGTCAGGAAGTATGCTGGCTCCAACATCGTGCAGTTACTGATTGGTGAGTTGGGAATGCTCTTGTAATGTGGCCTCAGGTTTAGGTTTTGCTTGGAGTTAAGGTGTGTGCAACAGACCCGATTGGAAATTTTACCAAAAGAGCAGATTCACTGGAGCAGAGATGTTTTGTTTTGGTTGACTTCTGTTAAGGAGTAGACAGCTTTGAATCCTTTGCATCTCATTTAATGGAGAACTGGGATGCTCAGGATTTCCCAGTTCTGAAGCACAGCTGCTGTAGAGTCCCCTTCCCTTCCCTTCCCTTCCCTTCCCTTCCCTTCCCTTCCCTGCCCAGGGAAGTTCCATCACAGCAAGCAGATGTGTTTTGGTGACTTGGAACACACACCCACTTGAGCAGACAGGGGATTTTGGAAGGACTTTGGGGCAATCAGAGTTTGTCAGTTCTTTGCTAGAAGTTCTGCTTTCCAGCCGGAATGTTTTGGACTCAGATGCAGCTCCTGGGGCCTGTAGAGCTGCTAATACAAGAGCAGAATGGAAGTTCTTCAGCTTCCTTGGGCAACCTGAGACCCTCCTGCCAAGCACTCCCTGTGACACAAACAAGACCTTATACCCTCTGTTGTTCCCTTTCCTTCCAGGAAACAAGTCTGACCTAAGTGACCTTAGAGAGGTTCAGCTGGAGGAAGCCCAGAGCCTGGCTGAGCACTATGACAACATCATCTGTGCCATAGAGACCTCGGCGAAGGACTCCAGCAACGTGGAGGAGGCCTTTGTGAAGGTGGCCACAGAGCTGATGATGAGGCATGGAGGGCCCATGTTCAGTGAGAACACTGACAGCATCAAGCTTGACAGCAAGGACGTTGAGGAAGGCTGGAGGTGCTGTTGCTGAGAAGAGCTAGCTGATATCCCAAACTTTACTGGAATTTAGATGGTGCTTCACCCTAATGCTGAGTAGCATGGTAGCCATATTCTCCTCCTCCTCCTCCTGTGAAACCAGCAATTTTATAGAAGTTAGACACAATCCTGTTTGCTTTCGTGTCTTATTTTTAAAAAGGGACTTTGGAGAGGTGGTCCTAAAAGTCAGACCCTCTGAAAAACGTACTCAACATTTGTCCCCACAGTTTTATTTTCTGTAACCTTCGTACGAGTTACAAAAATGGAGGAAATTACTTTGAACTTGGTATTTTGGGGTGGGAAGACATTTGGTTGGGAAAGAGACTGATGCAGACCCAAAGGTCTGAGCATTTAGCAGGGGACTGGTGGCAAAGGAGGTCACTTTTGGAATAGGCAATCTTGGCTGTATCTCTTCAACTCCTCACCACTCCACCAGTGACCAGGAAGTGTCAGTGTCTTTGATAATGGTATTTCAAGGGCCAGATTAGCCAGGGTTTTGATTACAAGACCGAATAGCAGTCACCTGTGCTAGGGCATATGGCTTGCTAGTTGCTGTTGGAGCAGGCCCAGGTGGGGGAGCTTCTCTCAGGTTTTGTTATCATTTGAAGTTTTAACAGAAAGCAAAACCAGCCTGAGCACTGTCACTGGACCAGGGTGGTGATTTAAAGCAGCCTTGAGGAGAGGGAAGATGCATTTCATTTGCCTGTTGTTTGCACAGTGATAGCTCCTTTATCCAGGTGGAAGCATCACTGAGATTTTGCCCTCAGGTCTCATCATTTCATTCCACAGCTCAAACCTGCACCACTGGAAACAGGAACTGGAGAAACCTTGAAGTGACTGTAGCCAAGATCTCTTGCCATGTGCCTAGTGGTCAAATAACAGGGTTCACTCTGGTCAGACATTTGGTGTTAAATTACCAGAGTGCATAAGTGGCATAAGTGGATTTGATTTTTTTATTGGTTTTGGTTTTTTAAACCATCTCTTTAAACACTGCATGGGCATATAATGGGAAAGAAGACCTCAGAATAGCTGAGAACTGCATGAGTGCAACTTCTTGGTTGTGAGAAACCGGTGTCTTTTTCAATTATTCCCTCCCAGCTTTGTACCCAAATGTTCCCCTCTCCCTATCACAAGTTACCAGTTGCTTTTCATTTCTTTAAAACACTCAGCAGGAAAAATCTTTCATAGTGAATCAGAAGTCTCCACAAAGTAAAATAGATTTCATAATGCAGCTCTGTAGAGTCCCTTGTAGATGTAGCTGAGGTGCTGGTGGATTCCTCTGCAGTTACACTCTGCAGTTGCACCTTACAAAAGTGGATTTGGAAAGAGAGCAGGAGCAGCAATATTTTAAACTCTGCAGATAAGGCAGAGGTGTTCAGGTATGGCAAGGGAGTTTTGCAATCCTGATAATTGGAAGGAGTCACTTTCAAGAAGCACCATTTGAAGTGAGTCTTGTCTCTTTGAAAAATCCAGGTCAAAAAGGACTTGAGTTGTTCTGCTATGAGGGCTGCACCAGTCCAGTCATCCACCATACCCAGTGTCATGAAAACTAGGAAGATTTAGGAAAGGGCTAATGTATACCAATTTTAATCCTATTCATCTTCCTGTAGCAAATATTGAAGCACTCTCTGCTCTTTCTGTTTTTTTAAACTGTGAGGTAGATAACTGAGGAGTAATGTGTGCTTTGTAGCCTGTTTGCTTCTGTCTAAGGGGTTAGTTTTCAAATTTTATAGTTGTGAGAATGAAAAGGCCTTAAATTTTTCAACTAGTATAGTTTTCACAATTCTGTATTTTCTACAGAAGGGTGGGCTGAGCTGCAGTACTTGGTAGTGGTTTTGGATGGTCTTCCAGGATATTCCTACTTCCAAAGACAGTAGGCAATAAATGCCCAGTTAGGCAGTTGGGAATGTGAAATTGGGAATGGGAATGAAAATGGGAATTTTCCAAACCCTGGAGTTGTTGGTTTATTCCCCATGTTCTGCTCTCAGGAGAAACTGTGAAGACAGTCCAAGCCAAAACTGAGTGCTGGTGGCTGCTTTTGCTGCTGGAGAGGTCCTTCAGGTACAGAGTATTTGCAAACATTTGGGTTTCTGTTGCAGTTTGGATCTGCAGGAGTCCCTGGAGCAGGGACCCCCAGAGGAGCTCAGCCCCCACTGCCTGCAGCATTAGTGCCAAATTACTGACTGCTGGGGAAAACCCATGTGCATTTAAGAACAGTATTGCTACTTCTCAGACTGACATCCATAGTTTACATAGCAACTCATCTTAAAACTGGAACAAGAAGCAAAATGAACAGAAATCCTGCTTCCAGTGCAGCCAGTGAGTGATTGTGTTCTTACAGTAGATGAAGAACTGAGGAATTGTTGATCCATTTTCTTCATTTTGAGGTTTTTTTGGTGAATAAGTAGAATTAGACCAGGCACTACACTTTTCATTACAATTTGCCTGGATTTAGCTCTTAAACTAGGCTTGAAGGGTGAGGCTCTGTCTGCAGGTCAGTCTGGTTCAGTCAGAAAACGTGCAATACAGCAGCAGAGATTTGTTTGCTGTACTTTAAATGAAGGCACCAATTCCAGTTAGTTTTCAGTTTCCTGCTGTCATGGTTTGACCCTAGCACAATGCCAGGGCCTCCATGAAGAGTATATTTCCAAAAGGGTTGCTGTGAGATGTGACCCAGGAACAGAACAAAGCAGGCTTCCATTCGGGGATGGAGGGAAAAACACAACACTTTAATAATCTACAACACAGAAACATAAGGGAAAAAAAAGAAAAAAAAACACACACAATGATCCACAATGGAACTCCCAAAACACTCCTCCTCCCCCCCAGTTCTCTAACATTCAAATCCCCTCTAACACATCGATTCTCAGTCTAATACCCTCTTTCACACAAGCTTCTCCCCAGTTCATCAAGAGAGAGGAGTCTCCCTCTTATACCATGGGCTTCCCCTGGAAACACAGTGGAACCTCCTGTGCTTCTGTGTCACATGCGGCAGCCGCCCGAAGAAAATCTGCCGCGGTGACCATCTTCCTTCCATGTCCAGTGCTCTCACCACTGTCCATGGATCCAAACTGCTCCTTAGGTCCTTTTAAGAATGCTTGTCGCCCAGTTCCAAGAAATGGCCGCCTCTCACCATTTGGGACACCTGTCCCCCCCCATATTTTTACTGCCCTGGGGCCTGGGTCTCGGGAACAGAGATCCTTCGCTGAAGGCAGAGGGCTCCACCACACCCTCCCCCTCAGTCTCTGTTCTCTCTACTTCTCCTCGCGGCCTTATCATTCCTGGCCTCCGGCCATCCGCCTCCCCCAAGGCTGCAGTCTCTGCATGGGCTAAAGCAGAAGAAGCTTTAAAAAAGGCTTCAGAACAGCAGGAGGCATGGGAAGCAGCGAAGACCATGCTGTTAGCAACCCCAAAAATCGGGAGCATGGCTGCGACCCAAACGGCCCCGGGAAACAGCCCGGAGGGGGGGGGGAGCGAGCGGGAGGCGGGCGTTCCCCGCCCGAACGCGCGCGCGGACGCGAGCCCGGGTCGCGACCACCCGACACCCCGGGGAGACCCCCCGACCCCTCCGCAGTGCCCGCGGGACTCCCCGACCCCACAGCCCACCTTGCGGGACCCCTTGAACCCCCCGCGGAGCGCGCCCGGCCCCGGCCCGCCCGAGGAGCCCGCCGGGGTCGCGGAGCCGCCGCCCCCTCCCCTCCCCCCACGGCGAACCGCCGATCTAGGGACGCTGACGGCGGAACAGAACTCGCGTTCGTTCTGGGAAGGTTTAATGGCAGACGCGCGCCGCGCGGAGAGTATCGCGGCCGCGGAGTCCGGCAGCGCCGTGCCGGCGGTGGCCGGGGCGCCCGGCGCCAGAGCCGCACCGCCGCCATACGGGCTTGAAAATGGCGCGGGCCACGCGGGAGAGGGGCGGGGCCAGCCGCCCAGCGGCGAGAACGGCACGGAGCCGAGAAGGAGCACTGCCGCGCATGCGCAGGGCAGCGCGGGGGGGCGGACACCCGAACGGGAGCCGCGCCCAGCGGCGCCACCGTACAAGGGGGAGACCCCGCCCCGCAGGGGGCAGGAAACACACGGGGGGCGAGAGCGGCGCCCCCCCCGAGAGGCGGAGCGACACCGCCCACGCGGGGAGGAGCGGGGCCGCTCCAGAGGGGAGGAGCGAGAGCGACACCGCTCCAGAGGGGAGGCGCGACTCCACCCCCGAGGGGAGGAGCGGGGGCGGAGCCGCGGGAAATCGCGGAGCAGACCGGAAACATACTGGCATTCAACTTCCGGCTCGGAGACAAGTGAGAGCTCCTCAGTCAGCTCAACCGAGCTTACCGAGTCTGACTGTGACTCGGAAACCGAGAGGGCAGAATTAACGCGGTTTCAAGCGAAACCGAATAAAGCTTCGAATAAAACCGGGAAGCAAACACAACATAAGCTTACAGACTGGGGCAAAATAAAGATAGCATGTGCAGACTGGGTGGATATGACCAGCATTCACGCTTACCCAGTCAGAATTACAGGAGCCCAGGGAAATCAGCAGCGAACCTATACACCAGTAAATGTAAAAGAGGTTCAGACAATAGCAAAAGCAATTTCAGAAAAGGGGATCAACTCAGCAGTGGTTACTACTTTGATAGACGGGCTCTTTAGCAATGACGATTTACTTCCCTTCGATATTAGACAAATCGCTCGTAAGATCTTTGATGCAGCAGGTATGAGACTGCACGGGTTTTCCCCTAGCAAGTTGGCCCAGACATTGGCAATTTAAAGAAGTCCCACCAGTGAACGGAGTGGGGGGACAATCCCGAGCGTGGAAGAGCACCCAGCTGGTAGCTATAACGCTTCACACAAAAGGGGGGCCAGAAAAAACAGTAGCAGTCTATCCATACATCCTGCAGAATTCTCCACCCCTGTTGGGAAGGGACGTCCTTGCTATGTTAGGAGTCAGGATCACAAATTTATAATGAGGGCCACTGCCATACACCCAGCGCTGCCAATCAAAATAACTTGGAAATCATCAGACCCCATATGGGTCGAGCAGTGGCCCCTATCTGAGCCTCGAGTGGCAGCCTTATTAGAA